AGGAAAGGGTTTTTTTTTAGAAAAGTAGTGATATTTTATAAAGGCTGAAGAAAGTAAATCGAGTAGAAGAATCCAAATCTGAAATCAAATCCTTGAACTTTTCAATTTTCTCTTCCCAAGACTAAACCGCTTCTTGAAAATCGTCTTTTTTTCTAGAAAAGTTTATTCCTGAAAAACATTCTATGTGAAGACTAAAACTCAAAGTTTTCAAAAGCTGACTTTAGATTTAAATTCCTGGATCTCGATCTACTTTCGTCGACCTTTATAAAATATCCTTATTTTCTTAAAAAATGCTGTTTTTCTTGACAATGGGTTTGAACCGGTAACCGTACCTACGGTTACTGTAGCTGGACCGGTAACCGCACCTACGGTTACCGTAGTTGGACCGGTAACCGTACCTACGGTTATCGTAGTTAGACTGGTAATTGTACCTACGGTTATCGGTTTGGACCGGTGAAACCGTGACGGTGAACGGGTGAATGATCGTCACCATTGCATGCCTATTATTGCGGACGTGATGTAAAGAAAATTCTGAGCTGGACTGCGTCGTGTATAGGTGGATCGATGCGAATTCATCTTAACTGAGACCACCTGTCGAATTTTTACAATTTCTTTTGCTACTCATATATTTCCCGCAACCTAATCGAATAACTGGATCATTGATTCGAGACATATTTGGAAAGCCGATGATGGATGCGAGAAGAATAGTAATTGGTTCATTTCTCAAGTCTGTATAGTGTGAAGTAATCAGATTTCGCCCAGAAGTCATTGGCTTCGCTAAATTGACCAATATTCTGTATGTTCTCAACGATGTCATGTTAGTTAGTAAAATTTCATAATCGTTTGATCAGTCGCCATCTCATTTTTATGTCTTCATTTTAAGAGTGTTAGTAGATGGACGAAAAAAAAATCTTGTTGTAGTTATACAAAGATTTTCTGATTATGAAGAAGTGTAAAATATTTGTATAGGGAACCATTGCACGATAGGGTTGACTAACCTTGCTCAATACATATTATGCATTGGAATGAAACTTTGCCTGTATATAGCACCAAGTGATCTGTGAAGACTGTGCCAACAGGCATATTAGCTTATGTGATATCTTGTATTTCTCAGTGTGTTCTCATACAATCTATGATGCACAGTGTTCGTGGATTGTGTTGCTCTTACGTTCGTCTATTCGTGATTTAACCGTGTTCTCTTGCTGTCGTTATGCGCTTCTCGTTGTGTAACGCCATTCAATCGTATACTATACTGTTCCTCTATGTCTGTTCTCTCCTTGACCTCATCGCATATAAACATGTCCTTCGTATGTAAAAGATACGATTGCGCAATGTTCTGTTATATCATTCCTCTTTCCTTTCTCCTCTGGTGTTGTCTTCTCTTTTCTCTCTCTTCTCTCCCACCCATCTTCTATATAAGCTCATGTTATCTATTAGATAGACACATTTGGATGTAGTGCACTAGTCGAATAAACATCATGCTCACAATGGGATCAAAGACATTTACTGTGCCTCTCCATTTGTCATTAACGGATATATATATATATATATACGATTAGATCTATATATATGTATATATTTATCGTTACAAAGACGTAAAAAATTTTAGCTTCTGAAAGCGTTCCTGTGTTAAGATATTCACATTACAATAGTGGATCTGTGGGTAAAAATCAGGGCTATCACATCGATGCCAATGCATTGTATATTTCGCCATTTTTCAACAGTAATCTTTGGAGCCTTCAAATTATTTGTGGATATATACTACCGTAGGTACCCTACATACTGACATACTAAAAACCTATTTTTGGTGTGTTAAGAAATATAGAGGCATTTCATAGATCCAAGATAGCCCCGTCACATTGTGATCAAGATTTTTATCGCTTATGAGCTCCCATTGTGGACCTAAGTACTACTACTCCTAGCTAATTATTATCAACATTTTTTGGAATTGACGTCGTGATTTTGACCTGAACAAGTATCTCATCTAATATAGATATATATTTGCTACTTCGATTAAGCTATGGACGATTCCCAAAGAAACTGTTCTATCTATGACTGAGTATTCCGCTAGGTTTTACATGTGTCGTAGTATAGCAGCAAATGTTAGATAAATCTCTACGGAAGTCGTTCAAAAAATATATATAATTCTCTTCTTGAGATACTTACTTAGGTCAATCCTAAATTTCTGTTGGCGATACTTTACTTCCTAATAGTAAGCTCAAAGAACTTTTTTTTCTTTATACATTGATAAAGAAAACGATACTCGATTTTTCTATGATATTTGATCAATCTTCATTTGACATCAAAATAAAAAAAATCAACAAGCACTCTTTTTATGTAAAATAATAATTATGTGTAAAAAATGATCGAATGAGTATTTTTTTTTTTTGAATAAATTTTCATAGGAACAAGGTAGAAAGTTTGGGTTTTCATCCTTCCAAAGAGGAAATAACGATGCATCGAGTCATATGATTATAGACTTTCCAAATATCTTGTCTGAAGTATTTTTAATCAACCTTTTAACGAATAGCAAAAAGAAGATTTTTTCACAGAAATGACTAGAAAAATGACTAACAGCTTCGATTAGAATAGCTAAAACTCACGAAGAATTAATTATAACATTTCTACCTTATCCAATTTTGTAGCTCTTCCATCGGCGGTTTGAGTGCACAATTAACAATTGAAAATCTGTTGTAGACATTCATAGAAGTAGATTTATTTTGAAAGAAATGGCTTGAAAGCCTTAAACAGATCAGGGCAAAAGGCTCTATAAAATATTATTCGATGCATCTTCGTCTCTTGCTTCCAGCGGTGAAAGTCCCAACTCTCTACCTTGTTCCAATGAAAATTATTATTCAAAAAATACTCACTCGACCATTTTTTTAAACATTATTATTAATTTACATAAAAACAGTACTTGTTGGATTGTTTTAAATTTTAATATTAAGTAAAGATTGATCAAATACCACAGAAAAATAGAGCATCGTTTTCTCTACCAATGTATAAAAACAAAAGAAAAGTGTTTTGAGCTTACTATTCGGAAGTAAGGTATCGCCGACAGAGAATTTGGTTTGACTTAAGTGCAATTTTATTTCGGAATCATATTTCTCCGAAGGTAATCAATATTTAATACGCAAACATATCATTTTAATATCGTAGTTTGAATAGAAATACTATAGTGGTATTTACCGTTAAATAATGCCAAAGAATGGTCGAAATAAAAGACGAATGGATAAATGCAGTAATAAATAGTTGCAAATCTAAACGAATGTGAGAATCGAAATAAAAGTTGGCGAAGTGCGTATCTTTTTCTTTCCTTTACTGCAGTGCTCACTAATGCACAGGTCGCTTTTCTTTCACTTTCAAAAAAAATAATAAACAAGCAGCCAGACAGAAGAGGCCTCACCTAATTCGTTTTTCGTGTTATACATGTGACAAAAGA